ATCCCCAGACAAATATTTTTCGCGTGGCATATTTAGTAAAAATGTAAAGTATATGTTAGTATATCAACAGTATGGCCAATTTTTATGTTAGTTTCTTTATTTATCTCCCTTCAAAAATATTTGTGTCCATATTATAAATAAACACCTGATATATCCGCCGAGTTTCACTACTTTTGTCTGATAGTGTACATACAAGAATTATTTAAAAAACAATAAAAATGCAATATATTTTTTAATGTGTATAGTTCGTTCAAAATATTTGGACTCATAAAGACAGCGTTAGTAACTCTAAATGTAAATACTCGTTGGCACCCCTTGACAGATTTCTTTATGCTTCATCCCCCATGGGGTTTATGCCCAATGTTCATGAATATCTCGGGATTTGCAGTCTTTATTTTGATGTTTATTTAATTATGGTCGCCAGATATGAGTTTTGGGGTAGAATGTGGACAAATTTGTCTGATGGGATAACTTTGATAATAACAGCTTTTTGATAAAACCATAAATATTTTGATGCATCTATAATAATTTTAGAAATAATTTTATAGATTTTGATAAAGAATTTTTTTCAAATATAAAACTCAAAATATAAAAATAAAAACAGTATAAAACGGGCTGAATAAAAGAATTAAGCTAGAGTGCCATGAATGATTAAATCAAATTTCTCCTATCAAAAAACTCGCAGGTACCAATTTTCATCCAAATATTGACTTTACTTCTATATAAATATAAATAAATAAATAAATGCCTTTATTGTCAAAAAATTTTTCAATTTGTGGACAAAGGTAAACTAACAAACAAAGTAAAAAAAAACAAGGTACACAAACAAACAAACAAAAGATAATACAAAACATTATACAAATAATATTGTCAGTCTTATTGTTAAAATAAACATATATAAATGTTTACAATGTCAAAGAACAAAAAAAAATTAAAATAATATTCAAAAATATTTAGCCAGTTTATAGCAAAATATCAATGACCTCTAAATAAATTAATTTCGATGTCATTAGTAAATATAGCAATAGCAAACATTAGACCAGTGTTTTCAAGATCAAATTCGATTTTCAATTCAAATATAATTCATTACGGCGTAGAAAGCCTTGTCTAGTAAATAAGAGTTCAATGCTTTGCGAAATGAAAAAAATGATGTTATGGATTTGATTTCAAATGGCAGGTGATTGTGCATTTTTTTCGAGTTGTATAATATTGAACTTTTAACTAACTCTGAGCGTGGGGTAGGTAGATAAAGATCTTGCTCCGCGTTCCTGAGTGGATAAGTGTGAGATGGCCTTTCTTGAGAAGCTGATACATGTTTACGTATTAGGCAAACGGATTCAAATATAAATAAGGAAGGAAGAGTCAATATTTTTAATTCTCTAAAAAAGCCCCGGCAATGAGTTCTGCTGTTTAGTCCCAGTGAATATCGAACAGCTCTCTTCTGGAGCTTGAAAATGCGGTCAAATTGAGCCGCACAACACGTACCCCAGAATGGAAGGGCATACCTGAGGTGCGACTCAAAAAGTGCATAATAAACAGTTCTAGCCACTGACAAGTTAAGCTCCTTAGAAACAGACCTTAATGCAAAACAGGCAGAGCTCAATTTTTTCGACAAAGCTTCGATATGTATGTCCCATTTCAGAGAATTGTCCACAACAAGCCCTAAGAATTTTACGGATTTTACGACGTCAATGGTGGTGTTGTCAAGTACAAAAGGCTGCAACGAGTTTTTATACGACAAAGCCTTAGTTTTAGAAATGTTGAGACTCAGGAGGTTCGAATCGCACCAAGATTTAATGGTGATTAAGTCATTTGATATAATCCTATGAAGTGCCGCGATGTCCTTGTTGCTCCAAGTGAAGCTAGTGTGTCCGCAAAAAGACATATTTTGCCACTGATGTTTATGTTAGCAATGTCGTTAATAAAAAGAAGAAACAAAACAGGGCCTAGTACTGAGCCTTGTGGTACTCCACATTCTATTGGCTTTCTAGAAGACAACGTGGTATCCACCCTCACAAGTTGACTTCTGTTGCTCAGATACGACTTAAACTATCCGAGAGATGATCCCCTGAACCCATAGTGCTGCAGTTTATTAATTAAGATCTTATGATTAACAATCGAACGCCTTAGAAAAATCACAGAAAATTGTTGCTGTAGAATGATGGTTGTTTAGGCTGGAGTAAACTTTATTAAGGAGGGAAAACATAGCGTCATTTGTGGACTTGTTGCTTAGAAATCCAAATTGATATTCAGTAAGTATTTCGTACTTAAACAGAAAAGATACCAGCCTTCTTTTAACCAACCTTTCTATGATCTTAGATAGCGTTGGAAGGAGTGCAATTGGGCGATAGTTAGAAGCTTCATCTTTGTCTCCTCCTTTGTGCAGAGGAATGATTATTGCCGTCTTAAGACATTTTGGAAAAACACCATTTTGGAACGACATGTTTATTAAAGTTGTTAGGTGATTCAGAGTGCTTTCTGGCAGATTCGAAAACATTTTTAAAGTTAGCCCGTCGGTCCCAGAAGAGGATTTATTTTTGATGGTATTAATTGTACTCCGAAGCTCTTCAAGAACTACGGGCGAAAAAAAGAAACTGTGTAAGTTTACATTATCATTAGAGAGATAAGAAAGTGGATCATGAGGAGGACATATGGTATTAGTTAAGTTTTTCGCTACATTTACAAAGTAATCGTTAAGGTTCTCAGGCGAGGTAGAGATATTGCTAGACGAAGAAAAGCTTTGTTTCTCAACTCATTCACAATAGACCATGTTTCCTTAGCAACATTACCAGAATTGACTATTCTCCTATTATAATAAAGGTCCTTAGCGGCTCTTATAGTCTTATGATAAATTTTTCTGTATAGTTTTACGTAATTGTGGAAGAAGGGACCGTCTGAGAATTTTTTTAAGTAAGATAATGAACGCATGTTTTTAGAAGATATGCGTAGACCTTTAGTGGTCCAAGGTTTATTATGCTTATTTATAGGCCTAAGAGGAAAGGATTTGAACGCTAGACTGGTTAATGTTTTTACGAAAATAGAAAATTCGGTGTCGACATCATAAGAGCTAGTATCCCAGTTGGTTGTTTTACATAAGTGGCTGAACTTTTGAGCATTCTTTTCTGAAAAAATACGGCATAATTTACGAGGGGCATTTTTGATTTTGGACTTTATCGAAAATTCAGAAGTTATTTGTAAAAAATCGAAATAAAAATGAAATTTCTACACCCTGTATCTCCGAAACTAAGCATTTTATGGCATACATTTATAAGAACTTTTTTACTTATTTTTATCTGCAGAATATGCTGCTGAAGATTCCGGAATACAGTTTGGACCACCCTGTAAATCAGAAAAGCTCACAGAAAAGCTCAAAAAATCTGCAAAATTTTAAATCAAATTGTGTCAATTGAATCGTCAAACAGAACAGTTAAAAATGGGGAATTATGCATGAAGGCCTGGAGAACAATATATTATACTACTTTAATATTTTTATTCGAAGTTCCCCATATAATTTTACATACCTATATAAAATGGGACCCAAGTAGCATTTTCACGACTTGCGACCACATGTTTACTAAACACAACGTTGGATTAGTTACAAAAAATAGTTAGCTCTCTACCTTGGGTATTAAAATAAATTTAAACGTTTTTATAACGTTGGGCCGACGTTGGACTAGTACTACAGCAAAGTAGAAGCTTCTGCGACGTCGAATAAACGTTGTCTTGTAACCTTTTTTGCTTAAGTGATCTTTAGGTGATTCGGACAACGTAGTTACAATGTTGGGCAATAAAGAGTTTTCCGACGTCACTTTCAGGACCTATTCCAACGTTATGCAAACAGACGACGTTTTACTAATTCCAACGTTGTTTAGATTTCCTTATTCTTACGTTGGTAGGACGTCGAGTCACTACCTTTTTGCAACTGTATTGAACCATAACCTTAAATCTTAAATTTTCACTTCATTGTTCTGTTCAGTCAGACAGTTCAGTGCTGTTTTTGTTTTTATAAAAAAAACTTAATTAAAATGGGACATAAGAAAGGTACATATAAAACTAAATTTAAATATACATCGACATATATTACCGATAGTTTATCCACTTCCTCGTTTATTTAGATTATAGAGGGCGGCACAAGCTAGACTCTAGGACTCTAGGATGACTAAATTAGGCAATCTTGCGACTAGTATACTACCTGTTAAGGCCGAACTGCGACTTTATTAGTCCAGTATGCGACTACTCGAACTACTCCATCTTAATCTCCAAAACAACAAAGTTAAAGCCGCCATGTTGTTAAATAAGAAAATGTTTCGTTCCTAAAATAGTAATTCCTGCTTTTTGAATACATTAACTTGAAATATTTGACCCTAAAAAATACGCGGAAACAATTTTTTCGACTGCGAATAATTTATTCTCATTTTACTAAAAAAAAAATTCAAGAAAATTTTTAAAACTTCTTTAATTTCAAGGCCCATTAGTATTTTTAAAGTAGAAACAATACATTTATCAATAAAGTTGTTTGCGTTTAACTTTTTACCTTGGGTAACGAGTTACAGAGTCGGTTAAAGTGTTTCAATAATTATGATCTTCAAACATCCTCCACACTTAAATACTTTTGTTTTGTTTTCCTTCACTGCCATCTGACATATGTCTCTAACTAAATTATAAATATAATATTTTTACTATAATTATCCCAATTTAGGATAAAACGCGACTTAGACGCCATATTAGTTTTGTATTTCTGTGAATTAGGATTTTAAACAACGTTGCAGTTTGTACTAAATTAGGCTTCTAGCCAACGTCGGTATCCAACGTTGTTTCGACCCAAAAATTATTCTCCAAACTAGTGCAGACTAGGGTTGGCACGAGGTTGTGCCGACGTTGCGCCCCGACGTTTGGTCGCGTGACACAACGTTGTCCCGACGTCCAAAGGCTGCTTGGGGAGCGATCTTCATTCCCAAGCCAAGTCTGACGCATTTTTTTAAGATCGTCTATTGTTATAGGGGCTGTGAAATGAGTGCTACTACATGGAACTTTTTTGTCACACTTCTGTCTTCCTTACTTGTCCTATGCATTGCAAGAGGACCTCATCACCCTAGGGGTGAAGTTGTAGTGAAAAGGCATACGCACTACAGGCCGACAAAAGACAGTGATAAAATAACTGAAGACGAAAGTTTGCTACATGACAAAGAACACATACAAGTAATGTATTTATTATAAGTTCTTATAGGAAGATTATATACAGAGTATCTATCTTGAAAAATAAACTTAAAACCATCATTTCTATGAACAAAAAATTGTTCAACTACCTAATTCAAATTCTAGGTGTTTTTAACGATAAATATTTTTTTTTTGTTTATTTTTAGGAACATCTTGAAGAAGTAGCTCCCCAAGTAGACTTGTCAAAAATGACCGAGGAAGAATTAGAACTGTATTACTTTTTGTTACATGACAGCGATAAAGATTCTAGACTTGATGGATTAGAATTATTAAACGCTATCTTACACACAACTCATCAAGGAGATGAAGATTATTCGGAAAATAGTCTGGACAATAGTTCCAATACAAAAACGAATGATTTTGAAGAGTTTGTTGGTAAGGATATAGTAGAAAAATTTAGTCGTCAAAACTTGAAATAAAAAATGCAGGTCCGTGTTTAAAAAAAATAAGTTGGCCTCTGTATCTTACAAATTATCAGCTAATTTGAAAATCTAAAAATACCATCAGATAGCTCTAATAAAGTGGCTATCAGAATATGCAATTAGTTTTTTGATAAAAAGTACCGACAGAAAAAAATACAATTTATTTTGAAAAAAATCATTTTTTTCCAAAAAACTCAACAATCCTTAATTATTGCCCCAATTTAACCATGTTCGTATCTATTAGAGTTACCGAGATACCAATGCTCGTACCTCGAATTTGTAGACCCTGTATACATGGTGTTTTATTTTCTATTTTTACATAGTTCAGTTAAATAAAACAATACCGTTTTCTTTTTATTCCTAGAATTGGTAGACCAAGTACTAAGAGAAGAAGATAAGAACCAAGATGGATATTTAGACTACACCGAATACGTGGACAGTCGGAAACGAGCTCAAAATGTCAGGGACAAAAACGTATCTGTCAAAATTGTGTGATATCATAAATAATAATACTTCCACATGGGCGCCGGAAGAATGAAATTTAGGGGGGGGGCAAGGTAAAAATGAATAAAAAATTGAAACACATTTTTGGTAATTATTGGGAAAACTGGAAATCGTCCGATTTTCACCAAAATTGGTATACACCCTATTTTGAAGTCGTAGATTACGATTCTTTTTTCTTGGCGGTCTCTTACCGTTTTTCAGAAAAACGGAAAATAATTTCAATATCGAATTTTTCTTAATTTTTCACATTTTTAAGGTTTTCTGGCACATATTTTGTTAGGTATTCAATAATCAATGATGTTTTTGCTATGTTCTGTTACTTTTTTAACCAATTCTATGTATAATAGAGGAAAATTTGCTAAAATAAATTTGTAAACAATCTGAAAATGTTAGGTTATAGCTTTGTTCGGGTTCTTGTTATTACCGATTCTAAACCGTCCTAGAACTCTGCAGCGCATGCGCAAATGAAATAATGTCTTCATATTTCCTACTGCGCATACGCATCACAGTTCTAGGACGGTTCAGAATCGGTAATAAGAGAAACCCGAAGTAAGCTTATGTGTTTCTGGCATTTAAAGCAACGTTGCCAATGCTAAACCTAAATTTAGCGTGTTTTGTTCGCTCATTCTGGGATTACGAAAGGCGGTCGCCAGAAGAACGGCTTCTTACCATAACTGTTATTTTACCAACGAGATCTGACTATTTATAACCACGAAGTTGCACGTAAGAGTTTTGATTGCATTGGTTACAACTTCCATGCGGAGGGTGTTAATCTTTTGTTGTTATATTATAACAGAAAAAGATTAACCTCGTCCGCAAAAAAGTTAAAACCAATGCAATCAAAACTCTTTCGCGTAACTTTGTGGATATAGGTGTATATTTAATTATTGTTGATCTCATAATAGGTAATTTATTTAAAATCCCTAATCACCCGAAAAATAGAAGATATGGCAACGTTGTAAATTTTCAAATTTCTAGATTAGGTCTAGAATATATTTGTCTCTCTCAATGCATAGGAGAGAGAAAGAAGAATATATCAAATGTCAAACTTCCATCTGGTCTCAATTTTCTTTGGTATTTTGTTAAGAAAATTGTTTTTCAGTAAAATGTTGGATATTTTTGTATCCCCAACCAAGTGTGTCTTTTAGATAAACTATAATATAATAAAAATATAGTGAAATTATTACTTTATAGGGTCGAAATAAATGAAAATTCAATGCTGAAATAATTTTCCGTTTTTCGGTAAAAAAAACGGTAAGAGACCGCCAAGAAAAAAGTAGATTCGTAATCTACGACCTCAAAATAGTGTGTATACCAATTTTGGTGAAAATCGGACGATTTCCAGTTTTCCCAATAATTACCACATTTTTTATTATTTTACAGGTAACACCTAAAAATTTCATAATAATGATTGTTTTTTTACAGATGGATGTAAGAAGATAGCTTTTATTTTTATTATTTTAGTGATCCAGGGGGGGGCAAATGCCCCCTCTTGCCCCTTGTCCGGCGCCCATGTACTTCCATATCTGATATAAGCCAAAAAAAACAATCATATACATCATATAAAACCATTTAGTAGATATTTATTATAGGTAATTCAATAAATTGCCATTGTTTTTAATAAAATAGAGTAATTTATAATGTTTTCATAGTATATTGTTTAGTTAACCTAAATGTTAAATTAATTTATTAAACGTATAATAATTAATTTTATATTGTTTATAAATGAGTGTTGTATGTCCCAAACATTAATAAAAACGCAAATTTAATTAATTATTTTTTTGCAAATGTTATGGGTTGCGCAGTAGCGAGATACCCCCAACCCCCCAGCCAGACTTAGGATTCTGGGTTCACAAGTTATTAAACTTTATTTTTTTTTTGTTATTCTAACTTGCCCAAAATATGTTCTCTAAATATGTCGCCAGCTCTCCGGCTAATACAGCAACTAACATCCCTGATTCAAAAAATCCTTTACCAACACAGGATACCCGATGAATGGCGAACCAGCACCACTATCTTGATATTTAAAACAGGAGATAAGAAACTGCCCTCAAAATTTAGAGGCTATATCTTCTAAACACCACACTAAAACTTACAACAAAAGTGATAGCAACCAAAATTAACGACTTAACATGCTTAGCAGATGAACAACAAGGTTTCAGATCGGGCAGATCATGCATAGACGCGGTTTTTGTCATAAGACAGATAACAGAAAAATCAATCGAATATAACAAACCAGCGTATATGTGTTTTATTGATTTAGAAAAAGCGTTCGACCGTGTGCAGAGACCGAAGAGACGTTGTACACCTTCTTTACAATAGGCAAATCCCACACAACCTCGTTAAAACCATAGAAACATATATGAAGGAAACCAAATTCAAGCCAAAATTAACGGGTTCCTGACCGAACCAATAAATGTAGACCGTGGTATCCGACAAGGTGACTCCTTGAGCCCTATTCTTTTCAACATCATTATGGACAAAATAATAGAAAATGTACGTCTACTGAAGAGATACAGTATAGACGACCAGGTAATTACTATTCTTTGTTATGCCGACGACGCGACTTCGTATTGGTAGCTGAAAATGAGGACTATCTACAGCGTTTATTACATCGATTTAAATGCACTGCCAAATCACTTAATATAATAATATCGACCCAGAAAACTAAATGCATGACGACATCAAATGTACCAATGCAAACTAGAAGTCGAGGGCAATATTATCCAGCAAGTAATGAAGTTTAAGTACCTAGGCATAGAAATCTCAGGATATAGTGATGCAGAGGCGGATGTGCGAGAACGGACAACAAAGGCAACCAGAATAGCAAGATGCCTGAATGACACAATATGGCGAAATAAAAACATTGAGGTGGAAACTAAAGCAAGAATTTATAAGGTAACGGTACGACCAATAATGACATACAATGCAAAAACTCGACCTGATTCAGCGATTACTAGACTACTAGAGACAACCGAAATGAGAGTACTACGCAGAATAGATGGAAAAACGCTTCTGGACAGGGAGAGAAATGAAAGCATAAGAAGAGCATGGAAAATGTAAATGAGTGGGTGCTCAGCAGAAAGAGTGAATGGAACGAGTATATGAGCAGAATGGACAACAGGAGGATAGTGAGAGTTGAACGCGACAAATCACTGCTAGGTCGCAGAAGCTTAGGACGTCCACGAAAACGATGGAGCGACAACTTGTCAGTCTGACCGGTAGAGACGACGAAACCAAACAGGCGATTCGCCTAGTATGAAGAAGGAATAAGATGAAGAATATATTGGCAATATAGCCAGTTATAGTATACCCAATTGATCAATAAAACTTAATATTCTTGCTTTTTATCTACAATCAATTTACAAGGTGATCAAAAGTGGCGTGAGTTGGTTCGAGAAAATTATGCTACGGCCATGCTCGACTTAGCAGATTAAATAACTCATTCAGAATTACTTAATTTTTTTTAAATTAAAAAACTAATTGTATTATGCTTATATTACGATGCAAAAATAAAAGTAATATCTCCTACATGCATTTTACTTTCTTAACAATAGCTTTCCACCAGCACCGACAATATTTCTAAGCATTTTTCCGCTAAAACGAAGCATATCAAAAACAATGCGATGCAATTTATAAGGAAAAGTTTCAACTACAGTCAGAACAATAGTAAAATATTTGGATATTTAACTTGTAACGTACAGTATACGAAATAAAATTGAACCCTAATACAATATTTTCTTTGTTTACGCTTTAGTGAAAATAATGCCTTGAGTAAAAACTTATATAAACTGTATAACAATGGTGTATTTTCCGCATTTGTTTGGATTGTCTTGTGTTTTGTATGCCTTTTAAAACTTATGACAAAATGTTGATGAAGTTTACGTGGTGTGTTACTGTTTTTTGTATTTTTTGTGTTGGTTATAGTGGAGTTAGTGGTAATGACTACGAAAATAATCATATTGGAAGGTAAGTTTTATATTAATTTAACATATACCATACGATAAAAAAAACAGCGTCAAAGACGGCTGGGGAATGACAATCGGTGATAATTTTGGCGAAGTCAAACTCTTTTGTTCAGCACAACATATTTTCTTTTTGCCGTTTTTCAAATAAGTCCAAAATACCTGATTTATTTTATTGTGAAAATTAAAAAAAAATTTGCTTAAATTTTGTGAACCACTAGATATTTTCTGGGTTTTTGTAACTTTAATCTACTACCTGTGTAGCGCCATATTATCAAGAAATTATGGTTTTTAACTAAAAACTAAAAAAAAAACAAATTATCAATCTTTTTTGCGAAGAAAACCTCTTAATCGTCATTCTGGGGTCGAAATATTCTTCTTCTGATCACGCCCACTCCTGACAAAGGTTGGCGATCCAAATGGCAATTGTGGCTCTGGAAACTGCAGCCCGGAAGATTTCGGCAGACGAGCGTTCAAACCATTTCCTCAAATCTTTTAGCCATGAGTTTTGGCGTCTTCCTACTGATCTTTTCCCTTGAACTTTGCCCTCTATTATGAGGCGCAGTATTTCGTATCTCCCACCTCTCATCACATAACCCAGGTATTGCATTTTTTTTCCTTGATGGTGTTCAGTATTTCTTTTTGTTTCTGCATGCGCTGTAGTACTTCATCGTTGGTGATCCTTTGTACCCATGAGATTCGCAGCATCCGTCTGTATACATACATTTCGAAGGCTTCTATTCTCTTTTCGCTCTGTGAATCCAGTGTCCAGCTCTCACATCCATAGAGTAACACAGAGAGGACGTAGCATCTGGCCATTCGAGTTCTGAGTTCCGCACTGAGGTCTCGTCTTGTAAAAAATGATTTCATTCTCACGAAGATTTCTCTCGCTTGCTCAATTTTTGAAAATATTTCTCTTTTCGTATCGCACTGACTATCGATGTTAGCTCCTAAATACTTTATTGAGATCACTTGTTCGATTGTTTGTCCCTTGACACGCAGGTGTGCATTTATTGCAGTCTTAGAAAATACCAATAGTTTTGTCTTGGAGACATTGAGATGCAGTCCAAACATCTCACTATAGTGGACTACGGAATCTATAATGCTTTGCAGTTCTTGTATATCGTTGGCTATTATAACCGTATCATCGGCATATCTGATATTGTTTATTGGGATTCCGCCCTGGATTCGATCCAGTGCTTCTCTAAATATAGTCTCCGAGTACAGGTTAAACAGGAGCGAAGACAAGACGCAACCCTGCCGAACCCCCCCCCCCCTGTCTAATTTGTATCTATACCTTCCGATGTTGACTGCTTCATCTCAACTACCGCCGTTTGATGCCAATAAAGTTCTCATATGAAACGTAGGTCTTGTTCGTCAACTCCGGTTGTTCTTAGAATTTTGATCATCTTCTGTTCATTAACACAGTCGAACGCCTTACGATAGTCTCCAAATAGTCCAAATATACTACCCCTAAAAATATTTGCACGTATTTAAGACTCACCCTGTATAGTCTGTCTCAGTACTTGTAAATTAAAATGACAGACAAATCTGACACTGTCATGGATTCTCGCGTTGGACAGACTATATACAGAGTGGACAAACTCTATCTTAAAAAAGTACAACAATTTTAATTTCTTATATTTTATATAATTTTAGAGGATTGGATGCCAGAAATCTCTTAACCTCTATAGCAAGTAACTTAATGTCAAGAGGGTTTGGTACCACTGGAAGTGGTTCTCAAGTCGTCTCACTCAATTTAACAAACCTACTAATTTTGATACTTTTGAAAGCGATCATATTTGGTGCTGCTTCGCTAGGATCAGGCCATCTCAAAGGAGGTAAATTCTACTTATAATAATTTAGTATACCTATGATACTTTCCTGGGAAAAGTAAAAGAAAACTTCCTTATATTATAATACTAATATACCTAAAACAAAACATATTAATTATTTCTAGGATATGGTAGAAGCGCTGATGGCGAGGAGAAATTCATTACCGACGAAGAAGTTTTAATGTTTCTAAGTTATTTAACAGGTAAGTTAAATAATAATTGAATAGTTGTGAGTTGTGTGTGTGTGGGGATATACAGGGTGTCCCAGGCTGAGCGTTGAGAAGTTTCTAGAGAACCACAATATCTAGATCGGAGATTTTTTGCACATCATTGTTTTACAACGAGATCTATCTATCGAACGTTTGTTAAATATCAAAATTTATAAAATTTTACATAGAATTTAAGTATATAATAAAAAATGGGGGCACCCATTTAAAATAAGAAATTTGCTGTCAACTTCCGCTATATCCGGAAGTGCCGCCATATTGAAAATATTTTTAATCGATAGATCTCGTTGTGAAACTATGATATATCTATTAGCGGGTAATAAATTTATCGGGTCGGCCATGAAGTCGTGGCACATCAAAGTTTCATTTTTTTAAATAGAACCCCCTGTATATTATTGCATATTTCGGTTCTTCCTTCAATTTTAAGAAAAAATTGAAATACACACAATGTAGGTACCTCAAACCAATCGTTTCCGAGTTATTGACTTTTGAAAATATCACTTAAACAATTTGATTTAATTAATTTCGATATGTTCAGTTTCATTTAACGATACCATTTTGCCGAAACTGTGATATTGATAATATTTGACATTAGATCTCAAGTTAGCGTTTATAGATGTATAAAATGAGAGTATATCAAGTTTGGAAATTACAAAATTTTCGTTTAAGATTTCAATTCTTCAATTTATGTACATTGTATATTACGATTATTGCTTAAAATTGAAGGAAGAATTGAAATATGTAATAATATACAAGGTGTTTGATGTGACACAACTTTATGACCGACCCCGTATACTTAAATTTACTAGTAGCTAATAGGAATTTAAAAACCCATTACAACAGTATCACAGTTTCAGCTTCCCCTAGGAGATGCAAGACCTTGTCGTTGGTGGGGAAGCTCCTGGTCAGGTGCTGGGGGGAACCCCTCTTGCACTTGGCTTGGTGAAAGAAGCATCTCACTCATCGTCTTGTCCCTGACTGTAGTGTGGTGGCCAGGGAATTGCACCAAGACATATAACGATACCGCGCGGGGCTACGGACAGCCTCAACCTTGGGGCATCGGGGGGCACCCCATTGTATTTTACCCCTTACTTCTACATGCGGGGCTCTGTAGAAGTGGACCGACTGTCCCTAGCGACTCATGAGAACATTATGAGATCTGGTAATAATAGTAATAAAAACATCACCGGTGAAGCTGTGGGGAAACCCCCTAGCGACACTGGGAACAGTAACAATGAAAGTTCCAAGGGGCCAAACCCAAAGAGAACTACAGTAGAGGTGGCTGAGACTTGCGTGAGACCATCCTCCGCAAGTGGCATACAAGTTACCACCTCCTCCAAGGGTCGGGAGCCTACCTCCTACCTCTAAACCCAACAGGCGACACAAGCTACCGTTTCGTCTACCCGGCCTGGGTCGTAGCTCCTCGACTGTGAAGGACACGGGTCTCCGTAGGAAGTCCTGGGACCGTATGATGAGTTATAACTCAAGAAAGGGGGACACAATAGATCTCTAAGGTCGCTGAGGTTAACCCCCCTCCCACTTATTCTAAATTCTAATTCTAATCACAGTTTCAGCCGAATGACATCATTAGATCAAACCAAACACATCGAAATTAATTATGTCGAATTGTTTAAGTGATATTTTTAAAAGTCAATAACTCGGAAACGGTTGGCTTGAAGTACATTGTGTGTATTTCGATTTTTGCTTAGAATTGAAGCAAGAATTGAAATATGTAATAATATACAGGAGGTTTTATTTAAAAAAAATGAAACTTTGATGTGCCACGACTTTATGAACGACCCTGTATACCTAAATTTATTACTAACTAATAGATATTTAAAAATTCTGTAACTTTTGTATTTAACTTTTTGCGGTACCTTCTATATTTTACCTAGTAATCGATCGTTTCCATACATTTGTAGTCATTTCCGGTGAAACAGGAAGGTGCCGAAAAGGATTGAATACCTCAATCAATCCCAATTTATGTCATATACTAATATACCAAATCTCGTTTTTTTTATCTGAAAAAATAAAAAGTTATAGGGGTGAGCCACTTTTGAGACGCACCCGGTATATCATAATGATTTACTGACAACATTCATTTTTTATTAGGATCACCAGGTGATAATGGCTGTCTTCAAAGCATAGCCTGTCAGCAACCTTACCAAGCCAAGAAGTATGTCAACGCAGGAGACGTTCTTCTGAAAACTGCCAAGATGTTTTCCATGAACACAGATGACAATTACGACTACGTTTTGAAAGAAGTAGAGCAGGCTTCAAACGTAGGCTTGGCTGGAGGGAACTGCCAAACCTACAGATGTAGCACAACTGGGAATAGATAAAATAGGTCTACATTGACTGCATCTATAAGTACAGTATGATCAAATAGTTTATGGTCAAGTAGGCTTTAAAAGATGTCCAAAGGGCATAAACTTGTTTACTGTCAACGTCCAAATTAATATATCTTGATGATAAACATTTATATGACCATAGGGTATATGCTTTGGAAGAGAGGTATTGCAATTACAATACGGTCGAAAAAAAAATGGCATCAGTGATGGCTTGGAAATGAAGATCGGTACCATTTTATACGTAAAATTATATCTATAAAGAATATTATCAATCGCCATTTTTAAGCCAACTGGATGCTGTATTTTTTCGATCATGATCGAATTATATATAGAAGATTTGAAATATGGTGTGTTATTAATATCAAGAATATAATTATATGTATTTACTTTTAATAATTTATAGAATTATTGTAACTATAGTATCTATGTAACTCAATTTTAATATATAATAAACGAACCCTCCAATATGTGTCTTATTAGAGCTTGACAGTAAGAAAATATATGATTTAGTGTGGGTTTACAGGGGGCATCCGTGATGGGTATCCCGTCGTTGATTTTACGTAATTTTATTGGTTTATTTCAAAAACACACAGCTCACGTAGAATGTAGAATGTAGAATGTTTAGGAGCGGAGTTATTCACCGCAACCTTACAGATCTATTGTGTGTTCTTCTTTCTTGAGTTATAACGAGTTTAAGTCATCATACAGTCTCCGGGTTTTAACAAAAGCCAGTATCTGAGACGGCTTTACAGAGGCCAGCTCTTCATCCTCGATATCAGCTGTAGCAAAGTTCATGGCACGAACGGTCGTCGTCTCGGCGCATTCATTGATAAGGTGTTCTGGTGTTTCCCCATTTCCTCCACAAAATCTGCATTCGTCGTTGTTTCTCAGCTTCAGCCTACTGAGGAGTTCGTTGAGGAGACAGTGTCCTGTTAGAAACCCCGTGACAATCCGAAGATTGTTTTTACTTAAATCAAGGAAAACCTTTGATTTTTCTCTGTCGTAAGTTTTGAGGAACTTTTTCGAGTGTCTTAGACCGTTGGAGGACACCCTTTTACTTTATACACAGCTCATACTTTATACCCAGCTCATACCACAGAACAGGTACAAATACGGAACAAGTACAATTTTTATCTGTTCTGTGCTCATACTTTAATATGATTGGCATGTTGGCACGACGGACGACGCCTTACGGATGCGTGTAAACCGCTCTTAGAGATATAGCACCACAAAATAGCGTTTTTGAAGTCATTCGCACACTCACAATCTGTCATTAATATAATAATGTTAGTAAACATACCAAATAAGGGCTTGAAAAACGAAACCCTGACATGTACAGGTTACTTTTACGTAATAGTACGAGAGCTAGCAACGGCGGAAAAACAAGTATTTTAAGACGTCTGGCTCTTTGATATATCTTTTACTATGCTCTCTAGAACAGCATGCGGCCCGTCTGGCTGCCGGTAAACGTTGCGTTCCCTACTGCGCATTGAAAGAAGATCCTATATTTTTATTAGTCCTTTAAATTCTAGTATTGAATATAAATGGAACATATGTCTCCATAGCGCAGTGCGTAGAATTTCCGACCACTAACCGATGATTCAGAGTTCGAATTCGGGTCAGGACAAAGACTTTTTTATTTTATTTTCGTTTATATTCTGATAGTAAAGTATTAAATATTTGTTTTTTTTGAATCACCAGATTTATTTAATACTTTTAATTTAGATTTAAATTAATAGCCAAGGAGATTTATTATAAGCTGTCAAGGACATTTATTATAATGCGAGGCTAGCCAAAGCCGGTAATGTCGCTAAGGAGACTTGGGCTATTGTAAATGACTTAAGGAATAAGACTTCTTCGTCTGGCACAGTCTTTAATTCACCTGAAGATTTAAACACTTACTTTGTTAATGTGGCTAAAAATTTAGTGAACACCATAACTCCTTCCCATGATTCACTTTCATATCTCCCTAAAGCAAATGAGAATTTACACAGTTTCTTCCTCACGCCCGTAGTATTAGATGAGCTCCGTAGTACAATTAATAGTATTAAAAACAAATCCTCATCTGGGACTGATGGGCTTACTCTCAAAATGTTCTCTGAACTTCCTGAATGCACATTAAACCATCTTACTACTTTAATTAACGAGTCATTCCAAAAAGGAGTTTTTCCAAACTGTCTTAAGACAGCAATAATTATTCCTCTGTATAAAGGAGGTGATAAAGATGAAGCTTCGAACTATCGCCCAATTGCACTCCTGCCCACATTATCTAAGATCATTGAAAGATTGGTTAAAAAAAGGTTTCTATCTTTTCTCCTTAAATATAAAATACTTACTACCCATCAATTTGGATTTCTAAGTAACAGTTGCACAAATGATGCTATGTTCGACCTTTTTAATAATGTATACTCTAGCCTGAATAACCATCACTCTACAGCTACAATTTTCTGTGATTTCTCTAAGGCTTTCGATTGTGTAAATCATAATATCTTAATTAACAAATTGCAATACTATGGTTTCAGGGGAGTGCCGCTCGAATGGCTTAAGTCATATATTGGCAACAGAAGGCAGCATGTGAGGATTGATACGTCTATGTCTTCTTGTAAGCCTATAGAATGTGGTGTCCCTCAGGGTTCAGTACTTGGCCCTATTTTGTTTCTGGTGTTTATCAACGACATTGCAAATCATAGATTAGCTAGATATTAGCGGTAAAATCTGCCTCTTTGCGGACGATACTAGTTTCACTTGGAGCGGCCCAGATGTTGCGGCACTATATGATACTATATCCAGTGACTTACGCACCATTAAGTCTTGGTGCGATTCTGATCTCCTATGCCTCAACCTATCAAAAACTAAAGTTTTGTTATATAAAAGTACTTACTTACAACCTTTTGTACTTAATAACACCACTATTGACGTCGTGGACTCTGTGAAATTCTTAGGACTTGTTGTAGACAACTCGTTAAAATGGGACTTTCACATTGAAGCTCTGTCAAAGAAACTAAGCGCTGCCTGTTTTGCGCTAAGATCAGTTTCTAAGGAACTTAATTTCTCAACCTCTAGAATAGCCTATTATGCACTTTTTGAGTCACATCTTCGTTATGCCCTTCCATTTTGGGGTACTTGCTGCGCAACAAAATTTGATCGTATTTTCAGACTTCAAAAGAGAGCAGTTCAATATTTATTGGGACTGAACAGTAGAACTCACTGCCAGAATTTCTTTAAAAATTTAAAAATACTGACTCTTCCTTCTTTATTCATTTTTGAATCCGTTTGCTTAATCCGCAAGCACATATCTGCTATTCCCGAAAGGCCATCTCATAACTATCCACTTAGGAATACAGAGCACGATCTTTATCTGCCAACCCCGAGCTCAGAACTAGTTAACGGTTCAATACTGTACAATGCCAAAAAAAAATACAATCATCTGCCTTTGAATATCAAATCGCTTTCATTCTTTCCCGCATTTCGCAAAGCTCTAAAATCATACCTACTGGAGAGAGCCCTATATGCGGTAAACGACTTTTTTGTTGATGTTTAATTATGAACAATTTTGAATTTTAAAATTTTGATCATCTCACACACTGGTCAAAGGTCAAGTATTTAATATTTTATAACTTTAAAATTATATCTATTTACTGCGTACTGTTCTAAAATTGTCCATGTATATTCTTTTTGTATTTTTTTTGAATTGTATTATTTGTATTGTATATTTTTTGTTGTTTGTATTTTTTTGTGATTTTGTTGTTTGTGAGTGCTTTGTCGATGAAGCTGTTTTGGCTTTTTGCACAATAAAGCGTTGTTTGTTTGTTTGTTTGTTAATAAAAATATAGGATCTTCTTCCGATGCGCAGTAGTGGACGCAACGGGTATCGGCAGCCAGGCGGGCCGCATGCTGTTCCAGAGAGCATAGTAAAAGATATATCAAAGAGCCAGACGTCTTAAAGTACTTTCTCGAAAACGTTAGCTCTTAGACTATAAGAGTAAAATCAAATCAATAGTATATTATTTGTTCTATAATATTTTATTAACAAATATATTTGTACAAGTATTCTTAGTAAATATTCGATATAAAAAATATAAAAACAGATAATTATCTCCACTATAAACTAATTCGATTGCATATTCACAAAGCTCAATAATTATAACTTAAAAATCAACATTTTTTATGCTAATTAACTTCTGTTATATTATAATATAGTAGATATATTTCTATTATTAATAAACGTAAATTAAATTATACATTTCATATAATTAAGGTAACATTATACAGTCATTAGAATGAAGTTTTATATATTCATTGTTAATAATAAATAAATACTTAAAAATTAGTTAAATTTACAGTAGGTAATATGGTATACTTCAATAAATATTATTGACGTATATAGCAAAAACAATAAAAAAAGATTTTTTTTGCTAAATTATGTTAAAAATATAATATTTACTAAATAATGCAAAATACTTTTACACTACATGTATATTTATGGTAAACTGGCACAGTTAGCCTGGGCCAAGATGTCAAGAAAAAAAATATATAAACTTTGAGTATTTTATTTTTTAAATGCCGATACCACTGGCTTCAAAAAAATATAAAAATTAAAATCGCCGACATACAATTGGGGTCTCTACACAAATTTAAAAAAAAACTTTTTCAACCAAAGTAAAAAGCGCGTAAAAAGTTTTGTTAATAATAAATAACGACCATCATCAGCAAAAGTTATGCTTACTGTTGCCCCCCTCCCTGTTTCTAAATCCAGGAGGTTGGGTCTCTGTACAAATTTAAATAAAAATAGACTTTAATCTAATGGAAAAGGCAAAAACATATTTTTTTCTAATATTTTAGTGATAAAATTTTACTTTATGTATTAGTAAACAAGTAAAACTACAAACTAGCAATTAAACACGAACTGAATTTAGACTAAAAAGGAAGAAAACAATTAGGTACTAGCTATAAGTAAATAAATAAATTTTAAACATGGTTACTGTAGTAGGAAGCAATACTCCTAAGGAGATTTTTTGATAGTTTTTTTTTATCTCGGATTTAAATTAAAGTTTTTTGAGAACAACTTAAAAGAATGATGCACCTGCTCTGAGGCTTGCTCAGAGTAAAAGCCCAATGCTTTCTGTGAAATACTAACAAAATCCACTATATGGTGAACAACAGCGTGAGTAAAACTGATTTCCGTATCTCTTATTTTGTCGGAAAATTTAAGTATATAGGCTTCGTAATTGGTATCAATATATTTTCCAAAACAGCTGGCTACCACATCATTGAAGGCACAAAATACCTCTATGTATTTGTTGTCTAAAAAAAATAAGCAAAGGGCTTAGTGTCCAAATAACAATAAGAAAATAAACTTTTGTTACAAATTAAGTTAATTACAGTCATACCAGGATCTAGTGCTTTAAGGACGTCAACTTTTTTAAACAAGTTTCTGGCATTATTTCCATTAAATCTACTGTAATGGTCTAATTGTATCCCAGAACGTCTTAACCAGCTTTCAGCAATTTTTATAAATGTTATTAATTTTTGCTCAGACCTAGGTCTACCAACAACAGATTTTGTTATTGGATACACTGGTCATCGCGTATTGTTTACTTTAGTTCTGGGATTAGGCCTAAACCTGGCAACTTCACATATTTTACAGCTACATAAATTCTCCTTTCGTTGTATTCTGACGTTAAATTTTTTGTAGTCCACAATTTTAGTCAGTTTTTGTTTATTTAATTTTGTATAGCAGCTGCCACACACAACATTACGCAAGCAATTGTCATCAATGCTGTAATTTGGTGACATATCCATTATTAAACCAAACAATTTACCTGTAATTTTAACATGTAGCATTGTTAAAACATGTATAACATACAGCAGATCGCCACTCTTTATGGGACCATTTTTGACAAAATGTAACATTAGCAAACTCGTCCACATTTTCATTAGATTTTGATTCTGACATCACAAAAAACTAAAAAATTGTCCATATTAACATATAAGCAGACGATGCAAAACTAAATAAAACTGAACTTTTGACAGAAACCTGTGTAGTCAACTGTTTCGTGCCAATTTGTTTACGTTTGGCCGCATAGCCTACTTTGGTTAATATCTTTAATTTTCACACTAAAAGTAAAATATTATATAAAAATTGAAGAATAGACCTAAAATAAGTATTAAAAATCTATTAAATTTATTCACCAGTGTGTTCCTTTCAAACTAATTACAAGAAATAACTTTTTTTGCTTTTGCCACTGGATAAAAAATTATATATTTTTTAAAGTTGTGTGAAGACCCAATCTCTTGTTTTCAAAAAAAGGGGGGCAACAGCGAAGGTTACGTTTAGGTGATAATGGTCCTTGAATATTCTTACCAAAACTTGTGCGCAGCTTTTAATATTGATTAAAAAAGTATATTTTTTGAAATTTGTGTAGAGACCCCAATTGTACGTCGGCGATTTTCATTTTAATATTTTTTTAAACCCAGAGGTATGAGCATTTGAAAAATATAACACTCAAACTTTATATATTTTTTTTCTTGACCTCTTGGCCCAGGCTAACTGTGCTGGTAGGTAGTAAATAACAAATATACAAATTATATTGCAGTAAGTACAGGGTGTTCCATTCTAAACACGAAAATAGGACACACTGTACAGGGTGGGCCAAATTGGAAGCTTTTATCGGAGATAGAAGGGTTCTATAGGCTTCTATAGGAGATAGAAGAAAACTAATATTGGTCTCTGTAGCTCAATTTTTGTTAAAAGCATGATGGTGAAAACCGCACATCGATATCTATTACAGTATTGGAGTTACGGGGTGTTTTTCAAAAATGTGCATTTTTAACAAATCGTTGTAACTTTTTTGCTATGGAAAATTTTGTACTTTTATAAAAACATTTCTAAAGCACCTTTTGAACTTAATGGTTTCAGTATAATTTTTTTAAAATTAATAATTTAAGAATTATCAACAGATTTTTTTTATAATGGTTTATATTTTTTATATGGGACACCCTATATATTTTTAATTCATTGAAAATAATTTAAAATTACTTTTCAAAAAATATAGCATTGATATTTTGCTCGATTCCTCTTCGAGATATAGAGTTTATAAGAATTCGCCCATTTTGAATAGGTAGGTTTTGAACAGCGCCGGTGGTAATGCAAAAAATTCTAGCTGTGGGCAGCAGTTAAAACGAAAATAATATTTGCTATGAGAGATGCAGAATTTTATAACAATTGAAACTATATTTAACAAAATAAAGACATTTATCTAATAACAATAAAAATTAATAGCAAACCAAGACATGAGAATTTGCTACAGGTGTTCGACATGAATACCATATCGTCTATGGACAAACGGAACAGTTTTTGAATATTTCTGGCGATATTCATTAACTCAGTGGGGGTGAAAGATATCCTCGCATAACCGCCAAGTATTTCTAATTATTGTCTAGCTTATACGGGCAAATTAAAAATAAGAACCTTATCTTCCGCAAAGATAAAAATCCATAGACACTCGGTCCAAAGCCTGGCGGCCTCGACGGCCAACGGCTGGAATCTTGGTTAGCTATTCAATAATTATTCTCGAAATTGGCTGCAAAAACTTGCTGATAATTTGAGTGTTCTGAGGCGGTGCCTCATCTTGTTAGCAAAAAAAACTTTTCGAGTTCCATTAAGAGGCAGATCGTCAATAAGGACCAAGGACTCTAAAATTTCTATATTTCGAAGGGGACTATAACAAAATATCAAGTGTGCTATATTTTTGGAAAGGCAATTTTAATTTCTTTTTAGTTAATTAAAAATATACAGGGTGTCCCAAATAAAAAATCATTTTTTCTGTTGATAACTCTTAAATTATTAATTTAAAAAAATATATACTTAAACCATTAAATTCTACGTAAAAGGTGCTTTTAAAATGTTTCCATAGAAATACAAAATTTTCCATAACAAAAAAGTTATAGCGATTTGTTAAAAATTAACATTTTTGAAAAACACCCCGTAACTCCGAATTGGTAACAGATATCGATGTGCGGTTTTCAGCATCATGTTTTTCATAAAAATTGAGCTACAGACACCGATATTAGTTTTCGTTTATCTCCTATAGAAAAGGATGTTTCCCTTTAAAGACTTCCAATTTGGCCCACCCTGTACCACAAATTTGTTGTCTCAAGGTGTAGTTTAATTGTTAAATGACTTAAACGGTATTAAATGTACCCCTCTGGATCACCCTGGCTCGTTATCCTGCAAGATACAAAGAGCAAAATCACATTTTTTCTCTCTAATACTTCTTTAATAAAAAGAAGCTCTTGTTCTTCGTTCTTTTCCTTCCATAAAATTCGAATTATCCGCCTTTACGCTGCCCTGGCCGGAAGCGGAAATTTTCTGCTGCAAGAAAACCTCGAACAATCCCTCAGCTTAATGGCGTCCATCACTTCCTGCAGGTGATGGGATACGGAGCGGGCCAGGTCGGGCTGTAATCTGGAAAAGATGGAAAAAGTCGCTTTAGAACGGCTGGAAGATTAGATTTTTGTGATGGTATTACGGTGGTTTCAGTTAAATTGCCGTTAAAATTATATGAGGTTACTAGCGTGTACCCGCGACTTCGTTCGCGTCGAATTAATCATTTGTAATGGTGATGAAAAAGGAAAGCAAGAATTTCCATTAACATACAAACTGGATAAAATTTTCTCACATTTATGTCAGCATGAGAAAAAAAACAATATGGCGATATTATTATATAACCTGATAATATTTGAGTATTTTCACCTCGTTGGAATTTGACTTTCGAAAAATCTGTTTGCCAAAAATAAGCTTTTTACGTCAAGCAGTTTAAGCGGAATCGTGGTTAATCAATTACCCAACTTTTTGGAACACCCTGTACGATTTTTTAAAAAATTTCAAAATATGTAAAAAACAAAATAAATTATGCGTGTCCAAGCGTTTTCCCAAAAGACTAACCGTTTTTTAAATAACAAATATTGTAATATTTGAGGGGCGTTTTCACCCTCTTGGAATTTGAGATTCGAGAAACCCCTCCTTATCGAACCTCTACGCCCCACAGTCAATCCATTTGCCAAAAATCAGCTTTAAACGTCAAGCAGTTTAAGCAGAATCGTGATTACCCAATGGTCATATTTTATGAAACACCCTGTATAAATTTTAAAAAAATCTTAAAATATGTAAAACAACAAGATTAAGTATACGTGTTTTAGAGTTTTTCCGAAAAACTCACCGGTTTTTAAATAAAAAATATTCTAATAGTTGAGAGGTGGTTTCACCCCCTTAGAATTCGAAAGTTCGAAGTTTCGAAAAATCCCTTCTTATCGAACCTCTACACTCTAAAGTCAATCCGTTTTCCAAAAATCAGCTTCTTACGTCGAGCACCCACAAATGTCACAAACACCCTGTATACATTTTTAAAAAATCTTAAAATATGTAAAAAAAAACAAAATAAAATATACGTGTTTAGGTTTTTTTTCGGAAACTTGACCGTTTTTTAAATAAAAAATATTGTAATATCTGAGGGGTGGTTTCACCCTCTTGGAACTCGAATTTCGAAAAAATCTTTCTTATCGAACCTCTACACCCTAGAATCAACCTATATGCCAAAATTGAGCTTCTTACGTTGAGTAGTTTGAGCAGGATCGTGATTAATCAGTGAGTCAGTCACTGATTAATAAGTAAGGATGTTATTTATATATTAGTATAGATGTTTAATCACTTTATAGATGATGATATGTCCATAGTTCTGCAACTTTGATAATTACAAAGAAAATCTGGAAAAATCTTACTGCAATTTATTTTTCGTTTCATTTAATTAAATATAGTATACAGGATGGTCCGAACTGTATTCCGTAAACTTCGGCAGCATATTCTGCAGATAAAAATAAGTAAAAAAGTTCATACAAATGTATATCCTAAAATGCTTAGTTTCGAAGATACAGGGTGTAGACACTTTTATTTCGATTTTTTCCAAATAATTTATGAAGTAACGTAAATATTTGTTATGAAAATTGGTGCCTGGGAGTTTTTTGACATTAAAAATTTGATTTTAATGTCAATATGGTTCCTACTTGTAGAGGACGTCACTTCGTCCAAAAATATTTTTTTTTCAAAAACGGTTAATGTTAGGTATAGAATGTTTAATATAAAAATTTATAAAATTTTACAGAGGATTTAAATATGTAATAAAAAAGGGAGACACCCATTTAAAATAAGAAAGTTGTTGTCAACTTCCGGTGTTTTCGGAAGTGCCGCCATATTGAAAATATTTTTAATCGATAGATCTCTTTGTGAAACAATGATGTGCAAAAAATCTCCGATCTAGATATTGTAGTTCTCTAGAAACTTCTAATGCACGCTCAGCCTGGGACACCCTGTATGAGTGTATGCGTTATCACGTATTTCAGACTTGAATATTCCTTAAATCGCTTTAGAAATCGAAGTGACATTTCGATGCGAAATTTTTCTATTTAACCGGAACAAAAATTTACTTTCGTTCAACGAGTTTAATTAATTTAAATTTATTTCAACCACACGTCTAGTTAAAATAACACCAAAGAAAGTGAAAACCAGGAAACAGTTACCAAATTATACATACGTCGATTTAATGAATTCTATGATTTGAAGGGTCGGCCGTAACAACGTTGTATATAACAAAAGAAGTGAATGGAATAAATCACGAAAAACGATAAGAGGTCATTTAGGTGATGATAAAACTTCGTATTTAGTATAGTTTACTAAAGTTGCTATAACTATACTGATTTATAATTTTTAAAAATGGTTATTACGAAATATCCAACTATAGAGGTCATTATTGTGGAAAATGCACGTAACAACGTTGTATGTTCATGGAACTTACAACGTTGTTACACGTAAGCAATGTATATTAAATTAAAGCAAATGATTTTTTAATAGATTTACTTTATTAATAAAGGTTTTAAAGAAAGAACTTACATAACGCAGACATTATTTTCAGAAAACTGGTTTTACAAAATAAAATCTTAGTACTAGATAAATTAGAATATTGTTCTCCAGCATCTCTTTAACGTTTTCTCGCGTTTTGTTTCCAGTTCTCTATATTTAGTTTCCTTTTTTTCCCCTATTTAAGTGGGAAATATCCGCGGGTGAAAGTTGCACCGCCCTCTTACTAAGCGCTTAAACGCACGTACAACGTTATTATCGGGAATGCAAGGCTGGCACTGACTGAAGGTCGTCCTATTGCCAGACATCCGGCAAAATTTTTCGGTTCCAGTTGCGCCAATACATTCAAATATGCTTAGAAAACGTTGTTTTAGGGAAACATCACATTTCAGCAAAATGTTACATACAACGTTGTTACGGCCGACCCTTCATTTAATGATAGATGCTGAATAAAACGCACTATAATTATAAATATCAATACAGGGTGGCGCACCTCGTTCGCCTCGGTTGATTATGCGAAAACGGAAAGATGTAGAAACAAAATAATTTATGGGTATATGTGGAAAGGCAATGTGCATAATTTAAAATTATTTTCAAATGTACAGGGTGAGTCAGAACTAAGATCTATACCAAAGTTATATTATTTCTTATGGAACACAGCCGGTATTTTATTTCATTTTTGGATTCTTAGGCATAAAGTAAGGCATTTATTGTAAGAGTTTAATATGTTTAAAGTCTTTGGTTTTTGAGATATTTAAAGATATTTAAATATGCATACTATAATAAAAAAGTTTGTGAACACCCTGTACATTACTTTTCAGAATTAATTATTGTGCTGACTTTTAAACCAGAGAAACTAACTTTACTAAATAAATTGATTGCATTCTTAAATGTATACAGGGGTATCAAAAATTTCTGGTCTATTTTAAATATTTATTTTACATAAAATCTTCGTTATTTCAAATGCAAGACTATGTATTTGTTTAAATAAATCGAAGCAGATTTAAATGCTCTTTCAAACTATATTAGGGTTTCCTATACCTATCTGGCTCAGGTTTTGAATAAAAAACGATTTTTCAATAAAATGGTAATCAAGATGGCTGGTGTCGCCATGGCAATTTACTAGTGACACTTAGTAGCTATTTTCAAAATCGAGTTTAAATTTATAACAGGTTATTTTTATTTAATTTACCTACAATAAGGTTAATAAGTCTTCCCGCCACTGCCCTGACGTCATCGACCCATCTCTTTTTTGGTCGGCCCACATTTCTTGTTGTTCCCCTAGGTCTCCATAGGACGACTTTTTGGGGCCATCGTCTTGCCACATGTCCTATCCATTGCCACTTTAGACTTGCCACTCTTTTAACGACATCTATTAATTTTGTTTTTTGACTATGTGGGTGTTCCGTATTTTTTCCCTAATGGTGACTCCCAACATGATTCTTTCCATGGCTCTTTGTGCTACTCGCAGTTGTTCTGCTGTTTTTCGGGTAATTGCCATAGTATCTAAGCCATACGTAAGCACAGGTAGAATGCAGCTGTCGTAAGCATTTTTCTTTAGGTTGATGGGCACCTTTCTATCCTTGAAAACATCGCTCATATATCCAAATGCTACCCATGCCAAATGGATCCTGCGTTTGATCTCCGTATTTTGGTTCCCCTTACCCAGCTTGATTTTATGACCTAAATATATATAATGGTCTACGTTTTCAATAATAACGTTGTCAACGGTAATGCTATGGATAGTGTTGCTCATTATCTTGGTCTTCTTCAAGTTCATTTTAAGGCCAATTTTCTGGGACTGGTCATTTAGCTCCTTTAGCATGGTGTTCAGTTCTTGAATGTCGGTGCTCAGCAAGACAATATCGTCTGCGAACCTAAGATGGCTAAGGTGTACCCCATCGATGTTTAGACCTCTATTGGCGGGAAGACAATGGATAAGATTGGCTAGAAATCGTGAAGAATGGAAAAACCTAGAAGAGGCCTATATCCAACACTGGATGGAACCAGGCTGAGAAAGAAGGTTAATAAGTAAGTATTTATTATTTTATCAAGAAAAATGAAGCAGTATCTGCTGGCGGAAAGAATGTATACCTTACTAGTGATTTTATTTTGTGAGGACAATTGCTTGTTGACCTGAAGGGTTTATGTTCAAAGATATCTAAATAGGAATTTCTTTTAGTGTGGAATTTTTTTTTAGTGTGGTATATGAAAAACCTATTAGGCAGAAACCTGTTGTTGTTTACTTGTTTTGTTATCTTTGTAAAAAGTGCTGTGCGGTATTTTCCTTAACTTGAAGAAATTTTCTGTGAAAAATTAACGCAGAATAAACTCTCTCAAATCTTAACAAAAGTTAAGCATGCCAGAGAAAAAGTTGTGACTTTACCTATGTGCTTGAAGTGCCGCATTTGAAAATAATAGTAGTTCCAGATGAAGAAAATTCGGGCATCTTTTATGTTGTCCACTATGAAAAACTATGAAAATTGTTCAAAATTATTTGGTTTGTACAATTTAAAATGTTTATTTATTTTTTGTGATATTTAGAAGGTTTTATC